GGCCCCAGGCCTGGCTCTCAGGAGTCTGGATTGTTGTTTAGCTCGAATTTACCCCTCCATGTCTCAGAGCCCAGGAAGCAGGGGCCGTGCTGGTCATGCTGCTAGACAATATCAACCTCCCGTGGTTTGGCAAATTCTCTGGTTCGGCGCCGGTCAGATCCCTAGGGTGCTGGACTAGAGAGGTCCACCCTGTAGTGGCCAAGGGCGTGGACTAGGATACCTGGGTTCACATCCCAGCTCTGCTTCTGACCTGCTGCGTGACCTTGGGTGAGTGCTGGCCCCTCTCCATGCCTCAGTTTCCCTTCTCCACCCATGGTCTATTCAGATTGCTCTGTGGCAGGGACCCTGTGTCTATGAAGCCTCCAGCACAAAGGGGTTCTGGCGCCGGCTGGGATCTCGGTGCTATTCGAACACAAATCATTAACCAGCATGTTTAATTGAGCTTTTCTACATCAGCCCACGGATCACTGTATCATTGTCTCTCCCCCCGGGGCGCCCACATCCTCTTCCTTTGGCTTCACAACCTATAACTTCCTCCATGCGACTTTTTCCCGCTAGGAAAGACGTCAGTCTCTCCCGGATAGTTTGGCTCCTCTCTGCTGTCTTGCCGCTCTTGGTTTTAAATGGAATATTGGGATCCAAAACTGAAACAAAAGCGCAGTCGAAAGAGCAAAGCAGCCGCTCTCTGCTTCAGATTCTGCGCAGAATGATTTTTTTCGCTGAGGAGTAAATACATCATGCAGCTCCCCAAACATGAACTCACCTCCTCAGCCGGGCAGAGGCCAGAGAACCCTGTTCCCAAACCCGGCTGTAAATTCTGATCCAATCCAGATCAGCTGCCGGGCCCTGCCATGCGCTTCTGTCCCCAACGCCAGCACTTAACCTTGACCCAGAACTGGGGAACACAACGCTGCATCTCGTTGCCTGGGAGGTTAATGGAATTCCAATTTGTGAGCTCTAGAAGGAGGTAATTTCTTTTCTTTCATGTCTGCTAAATACGGTTCCTCAAAGAGGCATAATTTCTAATGTTCCGCATGACATGAATTCTAACTGGTTTAGCAATGATCAGTTTCACCATTTACTCCTGTGTAATCTCTCCCTAACGACATTAAAAAAAAATAAAATAATAATAAAAAAAACAGAATAAGAAAAGAGAGAGTTGTAGATGCAGTTATTTCACGAGTGACATTTTCTAGGGGGGGGACGAATGGTAATTTAATATAGATAAAAGGAACAAATTAAGTGCCTTCCAAACAGATGCTTTAGAAAAAAGGGGAAAAATAATAGGAAAGATAACGGCGCCGGTTCGCTCCTGCACAGAAGGAGAAGGGTTTCTGGCTTCAAATGACACGCTCGAGTGCTTTGGGGTCAGGATTTTTAATTTTTTTTTTAATTTTAACCTTTAATTGCAAAACTCCTGGGGTCGGAGTCAAAGGCTGGTGGAACTTTTTTCCACTGGCCCCCGTCCGCTTTGGCTTAGCCCCGTTGGATTACTGCCCTGTGTCCATTGGCAATTAGCGATGGGCCGGGTCTGCCTCTTACGAAGGGCCCGATCCGGCATGCGTGTGCTCGGCTGTAAGTCAGTGACTAGCCCTGTGCATGTCAATGTACTAGTGGGAGTAAAAAGCCGGCTTGGGGTTAAATATTTGCAGGATCGAGGCCTGGGAGTAGGGCAAACCAGGGAAGCTGGCCGGCCCCTACAGTGGGTGTGGGGGGGTGTTTGGCTCCTATGGGGCCCTGAGTGGCAGGGGCGGGGCCTCAGGAAGAAGGGGTGGGGCCCAGGGATTTGCCTCCCCCAGCCCTAGCACCCGGGCGTGGGTGGCTTCAGAGGAGGCAGAGTTTGAATGGCGCGCTGGTCCTTCTCTTACGACAGGGCTGAGACCGGCCATCTGCCGCAACTTCTCCACCCTCCATGGCCACAGGCTTTGGGGAGCCGCACACCCTCCCCCCCACTTCCTGCCCCCTCTCGGCCTTTCGGTAGCAGCTGAAACGGTGCAGCCGTGGCCAAAGGGAGCTGGCCTCCCCGCCTTTGCTGAGCTCCCGCTAGCCATTACGCCGCAGGCAGAGAAGGGAGGGAGGGGCTGCTTTGGAGCCGGGCTCTCCCCAGTTTTGCCCCCTTCCCTCCCGGGTCCAGACGGCATTTCCCAGGGTGTAATCCACGGGGTTCCCCCAGGATCCATTCTGCCAGCTAAACCCGGGACGTTCGGCCGACTCGGCAGCGCCACGCCCAGGCCCTGCGCCCGCCCCTCCTCCGAACGAGGAGCCCCCTTCTCCCTCGTCCCTGCCACCCTGCAGCCCCACTTCGCCCCAAGGAAGGCTCAAAGCCCCGCTTCTGACTCCGCTAAAAGCCTCGAGGCCAACCAGCCTCCCCAGCAGGTGCCCAGGCAGGTCACTCCAGCCCCTGAGTGATTTTGGCTTCATGGAGATCCCCCGGGGTGGAAGCAGGCGGTTCCCAGCCTGGGCTTCTCTGAGCACTCAGCGGTTCTGGCTCTCAAACGCCAGCCCTTAGGGTCTCAGCTTCCGGCAGGCCCAAGGGAGTCCAGGGAGTCGCTGCTTTGAGGCGTAACAAACTCGCTGTCCCCTCCCCACGGAAAGGTGGGTTTAGTTCTGAGCAGCACCGGGGACCGGGACTCAGCTGACCAGGCTTAGCGGCGTGATCTGGAGTAAATGGCTCCCCATGGCCCCGTGCCTCAGTTTCCCCGTTTGCAATATGACGCTAACGGTCCTGACCCTCTTTGGAAAGCACGCTCAGGTGACTGACCGGCAGTGCTACACACGAGCGGGGGGAGGAGTCCCCGCACGGGGAGCAGGCGGGTCCTGGGAGCAGCCACGGCATTAAGCAGCCTGGGACAATTCGGCAGCACCAAGCAGGCAGCGGTTACCCTCCGACCACGTTTTCAAGCTTTTCTTTGCTCCCCGGAGGACTAGAGACGTGGGGCTTGGGGTAGGGATGGGAATGGTTAACCGGTGGGCGTCACCCTGATGGTTACTGGTTACGGTTCACTGGACGGGGATGGAGCAGCCGCCCTCCGTGGCTGGGGGGGGGGCGGGGAGGGGGGCCCTGCGC